CGCATGGAATTAAGCCAAGACCTTCCTGCCTTCTGTTGGGGAAGAGATTTAACGAGACGCAAGGCCGCCGCTGCAGCAGTGGACACTGTACCCGATTCGGTGGGCATTTGCTTAATTTCTCAGACATACGCACAAGAATAAGTCGTCTACATTTAGCTTCACAATTACCACAAGTGTCAATGGTCGACAAAGCAAACAGTTATATACAAATTAAGTATGATTTTAATTAAACATCCGATTCAAATACTCCCCTGTATATTATTTGAGGCCAAAGCTGTCAGCGTGCACATATGCAGGCCATCACGGCACACAAGGGGGGAAGGGGGGTGGGGATATGGTGAGATACATTACCTTACTGCATTTGCCAACGTTTACAAACCGCACCAGGTAATTATATAAGGCCGAGGTGACCTAGGGGAGGCCCAAAGGCCACTTCAGATATCACCGCTTATGTTGGCGGCGACCAGGACTAACATTCAGGTCACCGGTTCTGTATTGCAGTGCGCTAACCAGTACTTCACATACGACACCAAGACCAATATACAAAGATCCCCCGTATCGCCTGCAACAGGCTGTTAAGGCAAGTGCTGTTAGTGAGCACCTAGGAAAGCTGGCACGGCAACACAAGGTGACATTTATACACCACACCAGGTACTCATTTGAGGCCGAGTCAACCTAGGGGAGGCCCAGGACCAGTTGAAATAATCGTCACTGGTGTTGGCCGTGAGTGAGAATCAAACCCGGGTCGCCGGGTTCGCAGCACAGAATGCCAACCGCTACACTGCCACTCCCCTGACAACACACATTGTAACACACATCACACTCTACTGATAGATACATGGTATAGTATCAAATGTTCATGACCACAAGGCCATGTGAGAGAGATTGCACAGGAACTGCTGCTGGCTTTCCCCCACAATAGAAACTGCATCTAAACACACATGTACAACTGTTCATGTATGTTGAGAACAGAGCCCGACTTTGCATCGTAAAGCACAGAGTGCTGTTGCCGAGAAATTAAGGTCAACGTGGCACTTGTGGCGTAGTAAACGCCATGTATACCTGGTCGCCTTAGTCTCCCACGAGATATGAAAAAGTGCAAAAAAATATCAACAATAATTTACATTTCTTCCTCCCCACGCTGTGTGAGTTCATGGGGGTTGATTGACTATACTTCACCATGCAGGTCACAGAGGATTGGGAGCATACCAGACTTTTACTTTCGACTAAGTTGATCTTGCGGAGGCCCAGCCTAAGTTCATAACTATCACTGCTGTGGCCAGGGATCGAAATTGACGGATTAAATTATTGCACTTCTTTGAACTCATAATGCAACGTATCCGCACATTTACATACCTATTGAGTATAATTACATGAATACACAAAAGTGCAGGTGCGCGCCTATGCTCCAGTGATGGGCCATAACAGTGCATCGTTCAAATTACGAACATTGCGGGACAAAGTTACTCCAAAAAACAACGAATGTTGACTTCCCTTCACTAAGTGGTGGGGGATTATTTTACCAACCCACAAAGAGATGACGATGCGGCTTAGTTGGCCTTGGCAAGGATTCAAACTCACTTTCTCAACTGGTCAGCCTGCTGCTCTAACGCCACAGCAACACTGTGTGGATTGTACAAATATATTATACACGGTAAATGTAAAATTGACAATCGTAACTACGAAAGTGGGATGAAGCGGTGGCAGCCGTGTATTAGCGTTTAAAGCGAGCGACCAGAGTTTGATGCCTGGCCACGGCTAGCGTAAGCGTCAGTGATATTTTAACTGCTCCTGGACACCACCCTCTTCACCAATCTGCACTTACGAGGCAAGTGGGGGGGGGGGCAGGGAGGCTTTTATCCACCAGTCGATTTGACAAAGGGATGTGAATTTCTTTAATTACGAATGTATGTGTCCAAAAACATAACGCATATATGTGAAGGAACAGTAAGGCTACCAATTGTGAACCAATTCAGTGCAAAATATCAGCCAGGGTCAACTAGACCCCACTACCTTCACAGTAAAAAAACATCTATAATAACTGGTAAGGCTGCCACTACTCCATGTGTGTTATTCACTTATATGTGTGATCAACAGTTAGCGCGCTATGCTACGAATACGGCTACCCGAGTTCGATTCCCGCTCACGGCTAACACCAATGACAATAATCTGAACCAGGCGCAGTGCCTCCCCTAGGTCGACTCAGCCTCAAATGAATACCGTGTGTGGTGTGTAAACATCGCCACTGGGGAGACAAAGGTGGCCGGGCGTGGTGCTGGCTACAGACCCCTCTAATGTACCATTCCCCGGCCTTCATCGGTGCTCACGAACATCACTTGCCCCAAGTCTGTTAAAGCTATACGGGGGATCTTTGTCTTTGTGTGGGTTCAATGTTATTAAGACTCGCTGAGGCTTTCTTAAATAAATGACGACTTGCTTGATGCAAGGACGTTCAATGTGGTTGGTGCACTCTACATGTTAAGGGCATCCTTTTTTCCCCAATGCCCAAAATGTTTTAATTTCAACCAACGCTGCTCGTCAACTAAAGTGCAGCACTTATGAACTTGCATCATTTTACAATCAAATTACAGGAAGTAATTAGATACTGTACACGACTTTATTGACAGTGCAGTGATGGCTAATAAACCAATCCATCGCAGCCTCATAAAGCAAATGACCCTGGCTGGGATTTGAACTCGTAATCTAGTTTTGAATAAGGTGCTGCCTTGTTACTTCGCCAATTAACCATGGAAGGGCCCCTTGCCCATCTCTCTCGCACACAAACATACATTGTGTGCATTTACATTTATATAGATGAAACATTTGCAACTGTGCACAGTACAGAAGACGAACAATCTCATCATCCAATCCACCACGCCAATGCCAGTGAAGTAATGAATTCTAGAGGCCTACAAGTTCGCGCCTCTAGGCCACCCCCCCCCCCTTCCATTCTTCCACGGGGCTCACACATCACCTCACTGAACTTTATGCAACCACAACACAGCAATGACAATACTAACGGTGTGTGATGCTGGGATCGAGCCAATTTTACCTTGGTGAGGATTCAAATAATCTACATTTTGGAGGACACGTTATTGCTCTGCAATGTACAATGCAAGCTCAACATAACATTTACACATCCACAGATGTGTATCGTGTATAGACACACAACTGATCATCAGTATATAAAACAGCAAATAACTAACAGTGTACTGAGTATTAGACAAAGATCCCCAATAGAGCCTTGACAGACTGTTGGGGCAAGTGCTGTTAGCGAGCACCTTTTAAGGCCGGCACGGCATACGAGGTCGTGGGTGGGCACTACCACGCCCGGCCGCCTTTGTCTCCCCAGTGGCGATGTTTACACACCGCACTCGGTACTCATTTGAGGTTGAGTCGACCTAAGACCGGTTCAAATAATCGTCACTGGTGGTGGCCGTGAGCGGGAATCGAACTCGGGTGGCCGGGTTCATAGGGCAGCGCGCTTCACCTCTACACTACCGCTCCACATCATTTCACATTTCACAATTTAATGCAAATACGAAAAGAGGTGGTGGTGATGATGATAATAATACAGTCATGCAATGGTGTTGATGATGGTGATGTAGATAGATGGTGGTTATGATGATAGTGGTGTTGATGGTGATAATATATATGATGGTGATATGGTGGTCGTGATGTGGTGGTCGTGATGGTGATGATGTGGTGATGTGGTGGTCGTGATGATGGTGATGCTGGTGGTGATGCTGGTGGTGATGATGTGGTGATGGTGATGTGGTGGTCGTGATGATGATGATCGTGATGGTGGTGGTCGTGATGATGATGGTCGTGATGGTGGTGGTCGTGATGGTGGTGGTCGTGATGGTGGTGGTCGTGGTGTTGATGGTGATGATAATGGTGGTGGTGATGATGGTGTTGATGGTGATAATGGTGGTGATGGTGATGATGACGATGGTGTTGATGGTGATAAGTGTGGTGATGGTGATGATGGTGATGATAGTGGTGGTGGTGATGATGACGATGGTGGTGGTGGTGATGTTAATGGTGTTGATGGTGATGGTGACGATGGTGGTGGTGATGTTAATGGTGACGATGGTGGTGGTGATGATGACGGTGGTGGTGATGATGACGATGGTGGTGGTGGTGATGTTAATGATGTTAATGGTGTTGATGGTGACGATGGTGGTGGTGATGTTAATGGTGTTGATGGTGACGATGGTGTTGGAGGATGAAGCCATGGCTGGTATGAGAAGAACCCCAGGAATTCCATGTTTGGGACGAAGTGAGCTGCACGTACAGTACGTGTATTTATGTCCAACATAGGTCACATACCAAGCCGTCGTTTTATCACAGCCCATAACAGTTTGAAATATTAACAAGGGGGAAACTTTGTATTTAAATGTACACAACTGTGCACATTACTATACAACACAACCACACCACGCAAATAATGTTGTCGTGGAGTAATTACGACAAGGGCCTTGTGGGTCAGGGCCTGTCGGTCTCGTCCATCACTCCCCTGCTGCTGATGATGATGATCATCATCATCATAACTGCGGTGATGGTGACAATGATGATGATGTTGATGATTGATAACGCCGATTATTCGTACAGTAAGGCAATTCGCAGTGACATTTTTGTACGGAATGCCCGATGCAGCTTTCTTGCACCTAGCGTCAAAAGTAGAGGGGGGGAGGCTCATTCCTGCAACATTAACACACACACAACTACACACAGCACAGCGCATTATTATCACTATTAACACTGGGGGAACTAATTAAAAACTACGACGACGACTACGACTAATACTGATGATGATGAACCACGGAGGCCTTGCGAGGCTGGGCCCTCTGAATCTCTCCTCGCCGTGTCCACTCGTTCAACCCCTCCACTGCTTCTGCTTCAGCTGACAACGCTCGCTGCTGCTGCTCCTACTAACCACCATCAAACAAACAAACAACAACCACCAACAACAACAACCACCACCACAACCACCTCACCTGGTGCAGCGCGCTCAGCCCGTCCACGTTCGCGTAATTGATGTCGGCGCCGCGCTCGATCAGCGAGAGCACCTCGTCCGTGTCGCCGCTGGAGCAGGCTGCCAGGAACACGGCTCCATCGTCGAACTTCACCTTGCTCTTCTTGCGACGAAGCACCGCCGTCTCGAGGTCCGTCTCGGAGCCGGCCCATCGCTTCAGCTGCGCCGCCCGCTTCTGCTTGGCGCTGTCGGCACGGGAGCGGTCGTCCGCCGCCATTTTTGGGGGATAACCCCCCTCCTCCTTCTCCTCCTCCTGGTCTCTCTCCTCTCTTCACTCCCTCTTCTTCTCTCCTCTGTTCTAAGTGCTCGTGTGGTGGCGATGGTGAGGGACGACGAGCTTCTCTTCCCCTCCTCCTCCTCCCTCTTCTTCCCCGCCTCCTCCTCGCGCTCTCGCTCACCGCTCGTGGGTTGGCTGCGGTGGGGCGCGAGTCGTGGTTAACAAAAAAAGAGGGGCTCGGGGTGGGGTCGGTTGTTGTAGGTTGTTGGTGGGCGGTCTCTCCCTCTCTCTCTGTCTCTCCCTCTCCCTCCCTCTCTCGTGTGTGTAGGGGGTGTTCTGTGTGTGTGATGTATGGCTGGGTCGTTGGGTCTCTCTGACCGCCCCCCCACCACCACCACCACCACACACACCTCACGCTCTTGCTCACCACATCTCGCCCTGAGGACGACGACGGGTGTTCCCGCCACCCACCTCCTTCGCTCTGTGCCGGGGATCCTCGTCCCCCTCTCTTCCACAAGTCTCAGTCTCCCTCAGAGTCCCTCCCCTAATTAGCTCTCCCCACCCACATCGACGTCTCTCCGCCTGCCACTCCACGAATCTCTCTCCCCTCCCCCATCCAGGTCCCCTCCCACTGTGCTCGCCCCCCCTCTAAGCCCCACCCCCTACACCCTTGCCCCTCCCCTCTAAGCCCCACCCCCTACACCCTTGCCCCCCCCTCTAAGCCCCACCCCCTACACCCTTGCCCCCCCTCTAAGCCCCACCCCCTACACCCTTGCCCCCCCCTCTAAGTCCCACCCCCTACACCCTTGCCCCCCCTCTAAGCCCCACCCCCTACACCCTTGCCCCCCCTCTAAGCCCCACCCCCTACACCCTTGCCCCTCCCCTCTAAGCCCCACCCCCTACACCCTTGCCCCCCCCCTCTAAGCCCCACCCCCTACACCCTTGCCCCCCCCTCTAAGCCCCACCCCCTACACCATTGCCCCCCCCTCTAAGCCCCACCCCCTACACCCTTGCCCCCCCTCTAAGCCCCACCCCCTACACCCTTGCCCCCCCTCTAAGCCCCACCTCCTACACCCTTGCCCCCCCCTCTAAGTCCCACCCCCTACACCCTTGCCCCCCCTCTAAGCCCCACCCCCTCAACCCTTGCCCCTCCCTCTAAGCCCCACCCCCTACACCCTTGCCCCCCCCCCTAAGCCCCACCCCCTACAACCCTTGCCCCCCCCTCTAAGTCCCACCCCCTACACCCTTGCCCCCCCTCTCTAAGCCCCACCCCCTACACCCTTGCCCCCCCCCTCTAAGCCCCACCCCCTACACCCTTGCCCCTCCCCTCTAAGCCCCACCCCCTACAACCCTTGCCCCCCCCTCTCTAAGTCCCACCCCCTACACCCTTGCCCCTCCCCTCTAAGCCCCACCTTCTACACCCTTGCCCCCCCCTCTAAGCCCCACCCCCTACACCCTTGCCCCCCCCTCTAAGTCCCACCCCCTACACCGTTGCCCCCCCCCCCTCTAAGCCCCACCCCCTACACCCTTGCCCCCCCCTCTAAGCCCCACCCCTTACACCCTTGCCCCCCCCCCTCTAAGCCCCACCCCCTACACCCTTGCCCCCCCCTCTAAGCCCCACCCCCTACACCCTTGCCCCCCTCTAAGCCCCACCCCCTACACCCTTGCCCCCCCCTCTAAGCCCCACCCCCTACACCCTTGCCCCCCCTCTAAGCCCCACCCCCTACACCCTTGCCCCCCCTCTAAGCCCCACCCCCTACACCCTTGCACCCCCCTCTAAGCCCCACCCCTACACCTTGCCCCCCCCTCTAAGCCCACCCCCTACACCCTTGCCCCCCCTCTAAGCCCCACCCCCTACACCATTGCCCCCCCCTCTAAGCCCCACCCCCTACACCCTTGACCCCCCCTCTAAGCCCCACCTCCTACACCCTTGCCCCCCCCTCTAAGCCCCACCCCCTACACCCTTGCCCCCCCTCTAAGCCCCACCCCCCTACACCCTTGCCCCCCCCTCTAAGCCCCACCCCCTACACCCTTGCCCCCCCCTCTAAGCCCCACCCCCTACACCCTTGCCCCCCCTCTAAGCCCCACCCCCTACACCATTGCCCCCCCTCTAAGCCCCACCCCCTACACCATTGCCCCCCCCTCTAAGCCCCACCTCCTACACCCTTGCCCCCCCTCTAAGCCCCACCCCCTACACCCTTGCCCCTCCCTCTAAGCCCCACCCCCTACAACCCTTGCCCCCCCCCCCCCCTAAGCCCCACCCCCTACACCCTTGCCCCCCCCTCTAAGTCCCACCCCCTACACCCTTGCCCCCCCTCTCTAAGCCCCACCCCCTACACCCTTGCCCCCCCCCTCTAAGCCCCACCCCCTACACCCTTGCCCCTCCCTCTAAGCCCCACCCCCTACACCCTTGCCCCCCCCCTCTAAGCCCCACCCCCTACACCCTTGCCCCCCCTCTCTAAGTCCCACCCCCTACACCCTTGCCCCTCCCCTCTAAGCCCCACCTTCTACACCCTTGCCCCCCCCTCTAAGCCCCACCCCCTACACCCTTGCCCCCCCCTCTAAGTCCCACCCCCTACACCCTTGCCCCCCCCTCTAAGCCCCACCCCCTACACCCTTGCCCCCCCTCTAAGCCCACCCCCTACACCCTTGCCCCCCCCCTCTAAGCCCCACCCCCTACACCCTTGCCCCCCCTCTAAGCCCCACCCCCCTACACCCTTGCCCCCCCTCTAAGCCCCACCCCCTACACCCTTGCCCCTCCCCTCTAAGCCCCACCCCCTACACCCTTTTCCCCCCTCTAAGCCCCACCCCCTACACCCTTGCCCCTCCCCTCTAAGCCCCACCCCCTACACCCTTGCCCCTCCCCTCTAAGCCCCACCCCCTACACCCTTGCCCCTCCCCTCTAAGCCCCACCCCCTACACCCTTGCCCCTCCCCTCTAAGCCCCACCCCCTACAACCCTTGCCCCTCCCCTCTAAGCCCCACCCCCTACAACCCTTGCCCCCCCCTCTAAGCCCCACCCCCTACAACCCTTGCCCCCCCTCTAAGCCCCACCCCCTACAACCCTTGCCCCTCCCCTCTAAGCCCCACCCCCTACACCCTTGCCCCCCCTCTAAGCCCCACCCCCTACACCCTTGCCCCCCCCCCCTCTCTAAGCCCCACCCCCTACACCCTTGCCCCCCCCTCTAAGCCCCACCCCCTACACCCTTGCCCCTCCCCTCTAAGCCCCACCCCCTACACCCTTGCCCCCCCTCTAAGCCCCACCCCCTACAACCCTTGCCCCTCCCCTCTAAGCCCCACCCCCTACACCCTTTTCCCCCCTCTAAGCCCCACCCCCTACACCCTTGCCCCTCCCCTCTAAGCCCCACCCCCTACAACCCTTGCCCCTCCCCTCTAAGCCCCACCCCCTACACCCTTGCCCCTCCCCTCTAAGCCCCACCCCCTACACCCTTGCCCCTCCCCTCTAAGCCCCACCCCCTACACCCTTGCCCCTCCCCTCTAAGCCCCACCCCCTACACCCTTGCCCCCCCCTCTAAGCCCCACCCCCTACACCCTTGCCCCCCCTCTAAGCCCCACCCCCTACACCCTTGCCCCTCCCCTCTAAGCCCCTACACCCTTGCCCCCCCCCCCTCTCTAAGCCCCACCCCCTACACCCTTGCCCCCCCCTCTAAGCCCCACCCCCTACACCCTTGCCCCTCCCCTCTAAGCCCCACCCCCTACACCCTTGCCCCTCCCCTCTAAGCCCCACCTCTACACCCTTGCCCCTCCCCTCTAAGCCCCACCCCCTACACCCTTGCCCCCCCCTCTAAGCCCCACCTCTACACCCTTGCCCCTCCCCTCTAAGCCCCACCCCCTACACCCTCGCCCCTCCCCTCCAAGCCCCACCCCCTACACCCTTGCCCCTCCCCTCTAAGCCCCACCCCCCTACACCCTTGCCCCCCCTCTAAGCCCCACCCCCTACACCCTTGCCCCCCCCCTCTAAGCCCCACCCCCTACACCCTCGCCCCCCCCCCTAAGCCCCACCCCCTACACCCTCGCCCCTCCCCTCCAAAGCCCCACCCCCTACAACCCTTGCCCCCCCCCTCTAAGTCCCCCCCCTACACCCTTGCCCCTCTCCCTAAGCCCCACCCCCTACACCCTTGCCCCTCTCCCTAAGCCCCACCCCCTACACCCTCGCCCCTCCCCTCTAAGTCCCATCCCCTACACCCTTGCCCCTCCCTCTGAGCCCCACCCCCTACACCCTCGCCCCTCCCCTCTAAGCCCCTCCCCTCTAAGCCCCACCCCCTAAACCTTTGCCCCTCCCCTATAAGCCCCACCCACTACACCCTTGCCCCTCCCCCCCTAAGCCCCACCCCCTTACACCCTTGCCCCTCCCTTCTCAGTCCCCTCCCTCTCCCTCACGAGGTGTCACCCCCCCCCCACCCCTCTAAGTCCCTCCCTTTTGTCTCTCTCCCTCTGAATTATCTCTCCTAAACGCTCCCCTCCAAAGTCCCTCCCTCTCCCTCTCTCACTAAGGCACCTCCCCCCTCTCTCGTCTCTCCTTTCCCAGTCCCCTCCCCCTCCTGTACCATCTCCCTCTGACTTCCCTCCCCTATACGTTCCCTCCCTCTCAGCTCTCCCTTGCTGCTCTCTCCCCTTTTTCAGTTCCCTTCCCACCCTCTTTGCCTCCTCTCCCGTGCCTCTCCCCTATCCAAGTCCCTCCTCCTCTCTTGAGCCCTCCTTCTGCCGATGGACGCTCACACTTGTTGTAGTACAGAGTTAGACCGATAACTTTCATCTAAATTGTCTTATGGTTGTTATTGTTTGACTTGCATCCCACTGGGATTTTTGCACACAGCGTTGAAATAGTGTTTTTTTTTGGAAGACTTTTTCTGTTTTTTCCTGGATTTTTCTGTTGCGTGTAGTCACTTTAAGATGTTTTCTTGTTCATGTTTTTGTTTGTTGCGGTTGCACCCGATTCAAGAGCCGAATGGCTCACAGGGCAATACCTAATACATGAACTGAACTGATCCATCCTCCCTCGATTCGCTCTCAACTCTCTCCTCCAAAGCGCGCTCTTACACTGCCATGCCACCTCTCGCCCTCTGTACTCTTCTGTCAAATTGCACTCTCTCGTCCCTCTCTCTCTCCACGACTCTCAACATCGCCTTGCTCCCCCCCCCCCGCTCCCGTTAGTCTTTCTCTCTTCCCTAAAACTTCCTTCCCTCCCACTCGACCCCTCCCTTCTGTCACACTTTCACGCTCCTTTTAGCTCACGATATAAATCCATACCGCCAATTCCTCACTTCTCGTCCTGTCCATCGAATGTCTTTCGACCCCGTTTTCTCCCTCTCTTTTCCACCATTCCCCCTTTAAGTGTCGCTGACTCCTCCACTCTGACTCCCACTTGCTTTCCCAGAGATAGTCAGCTCAGGCTGTCTCTTCCCCCCCCCCCCCCCATTCACCACCACCACCTCACCAACGCGCATTGACCAGCGTGGTGAAGTATGGTTAAACA